GCCAAGCAATAGGTACGCCGAAGTCAAAGACAAAGGAAGGCAAAGTCAAAGACAAAGGCAAAGGCAAAGGCAAAGGGGGTGGCCCCAATCATTTTATCCTATTTGGACACACATTTTACAAAATGCTAGCACATGGTGCTATATGACCTCATGCTACAGAGAACAAAATTCTCAGCTTTTGTTAGATCGGCGGCTGAAGTTTAAAGGAAGCGCGAGGAAGATCACAGATCAGGAACTCCGCATCAAGCGCGCTCCAAGCGGAAATGTTTCCAAGTGAAAAAGCTAGAGATGGTATTAATGAGTTGCGATTCTGAAATGAAAATCGAGAAGTGATTTAATAAATACAATCGGGCGGTGAAACCGTTACACAGTTGACATGCACATCAAAATCAAAGTAAAATCTAATTTGCTATAAGGGGGTAGGTCAATGTGGCAATAAGTGTTGGAGGTGTGTTCGTTTACCTCCATGCAATAATAAATATTTTGTTCGAATCTACTAAGCATATGTTAAATTATTTGTCTATGTTCAGCCCTAATCCGCTGACGAAGATCTTGAATGGAATCTGGCTTCGTACGAAAAACTGTACTTTTCAAATGTCCCAAAAAAAAGTAATCTAAACGACTTAGGTCCGGAGATCTGGGCGGCCACTCGATGGGGCCTCGTCTGCTGATCCACTGATTCGGGAAATGGGTGTCAAAAAATTGTCGTGCTATAGCCACATCGCCACGATGCTTGTATTATAAATTACAAAATTACAAAATCTTGATGGAAAAGTTCTTCACATTACTGAAAAAAGTCAACATGCTGTATAATATACATGCGCCACTGAAAAGATATACAAAGCGTACAAATCATAGACCATATGTGACGTACACTATAAAATGTATCATGAATTTGAAGCGACAAGCATACTATAAATTTAAAAGCGCGCGATCCGAAGAACAACGCACATATTATAAAGAACTTAGAAATCATTTAGGTATTGTTTTGAAGAACGAAAAGATCGCAAATATAAGGAATCAACTCAATAAAAGTAGGAATAACCATAAGCAACTCTAAAGTGATTTCTCCAAATGGAATATTCATCAAAGATCAGACAAACAGATATAAAAGAAAATTGAATACCCAGAAGCCATCAACAATTACTTTATTGACTCTCTACCAACGGTTCTACCTGATGACTTATTTCTGGACACATTTTCAGAACTCAAAAATTCTGCTGTATCTAAATCTTCATTTCGTCACGGTACATCAGATGACATTGCGCAGAAATTGAAAGAAGTGAGATCGAATGCTACGGGTGTTGATGGTGTCACTAAAAATATGTTAAAGAACGCGTTCCTTTTTTGCAAGTATCAACTAGCTAGTATTATCAACCAGCCACTAGCCATAGGAGAAGTACCACCAATATTGTCTGACACTTAGTCCCACAAAAACTGAGACTTGTTGTACGGGTTCTAGACTAGCTGTTACAAAATTCAAAAAAGCAGTGAATGCAAATATACTTTTAGATGGTACCACTATTCAAATTGTAGAGGATACAAAAGGTTTGGGAATACTATTAGATACAAATTTAAGTTTTGAGTGTCACGTTATGAATAAACTCAAATCATGCTATTATAAATATAAAACACTTTGGAAATATAAATACATACTGGCATCTGATATTTAATTATTGCTTGTAAACTGGTTAATCCTTACACATTTGGATTATGGTGTCACAGTCTGTTACAACTTCCTTACAGAGGAAATGAGACAAAAAATGCAGATTTTACAGAATCGTTGCAAAAGATTTTGTTATAATGATATAGGTAGGCAAGAACGCATCACTGGCTACTATGAGAGAGGTCATTTTGAAATATAATTACCGTTCCTTGCTTCTTTTATGGTGCTCTACTATATAAAGTTTTAAGATATAAATCTACAAATTATCTGTATAATATTTTCGAGAAAAGATCCTCTGTTAGCCATGTTTTTCTAAGAAACGATAATTGTTATAATATCCCAGGCCATGTAACATCTAAATTCAAGAAAGCTTTCACATATACAGCACCTTGTTGGTTAAATAAATATTTAGAACTTTTCCAAATTACTTCCAGTAGCAGTGTCAGAAAGGAATTGAAGAAGGTACTTATCCAGTTACAAGCTTCTGAAGTTAAATATTATTAGCTTACGATTCAATATTGTATTTTATTTACAATAACATCTTAATTTTATACATTACCGATGTAAAATTACAGATAAGATGAATCGCATCAATACATAAAATAGTTTTAATTTACTGAATCTCTATGTAATTGCTGTAGGCGACGGTGAAAAATGGCAACGCCAATCCTCAGCCTTTTGGAGTGACTTTTTTCTAATGTATATATATATATATATTCATTTTGTACAAATGCTCCAATAAAAATTATTATAATGTCACAAAAAAGCAATATAATGTCAAAAAAATCGAGACACTTCACTTTTCAAGATACGCTTGTTTGTGCATCTCTTGGACCTGATCGATGATGCCTCGTTACAACCGTAGTTGCAATATGTGAGGTAGTTGTTCATGTCTGACTTTAACTGTAGCATGATTTATCATGAAACATGTAAATTAACTAACACTCTAGGCCAAACGGCGAGCCTCAGTTCAAAATAGTCACAACCGTAGAATTCAAGAGCATTAATGCTGCCGCATTTACGACCCTTATTTATGCTAGTATAAACTGTCTTAATTAGAGCTTGGTGAGGCTGATAAAGGAAGTGTTTAATAGATTTTTCAAACATATGAATGAAACTGAAGTCGTAGTAGAAATTCACTTTATTTTTTTCGTGACATTAAATCGTAAAATGACCTCACTCAGTACCACTGTAATTTACTGACTCTGACAGCCAGTCAAGATGTGGCCAGGTTGCGGAGTGTAACGAGCTTTGAAATATACATCTATACGATGGGTGAATTGATGATGAAACAACGTAAGACCATATTAGTGAATCAGTATCGGTGTAACTCACTGACTGTGAATTGTTGCGAACTCCGAAGGAGTACAGTAATAGATTGCTATTTGGCAATTATACGTGGCCTAGTTGTGGTATTTTATTGGTTATATGTGGTACGTCTATAGAATGAGAGATAATGATGGTATAGATTAAGAAGGTATGAATGAATCAGTATCAGGGTAGCTTTCTGATTGAACTGATGTAAACACCGAACGAAGACAGTACTAAATTTCAATTTGGCACCTGTTAGTGCCTCCATCAGTAGCAAGGTAATCTGGCACAGTGCATAGCGTAGAGCATTGAACGATTATGGGCCAGACGCCATAACGGCCTCTTTGTCATGTTCATCGTAATGGATGTGGGTGAAAATCAGTTTGGAAAATATAATTAAATAAAATGGAAACCCATGAGAGCATATAAAAATTATCAGTACTCACAAGCAGCTCAAGACGTGCCAAAATCTCGTAACATTTTTTTGCTATTCTGATCACTTACCGGTAATTTGAATTTCCCTATATTAATGATAGTGCCGACTCCTTTCAATAATTTACTTGTGGCAAATTTCATTATTATGTTGAAATAATATAATATAGTTGGTCCCTCGTAAAGTTTGTTATCTAGGGTCCACGCATTGGCAACCAGCACTTTCACACTTTTGACGTTGACGGTCAACTGACAGGCCGTGATTTTATTTCGTGTTGAATTCTAGGTTATGTGGTAATGGGTCCTTGATTTCCAGATTTTGGCACAGTAGGCCCCAATCGCCAGGTACCTTCCTTACGTTTATTTGTTTTTGTTGTTGTTTGAGTGCTGCTTTATACGATTTTAACCTCTTCAGCGTTCCTTTTATATCATCTGATCACGTGCATTAATGCATGTCCCGAAGAAGTTCATCACATTGATCATGATCTTGATTTTTGAGCTGCCATAACCTTTAGAACAGTGGATAACTTTTTGAGGGTGTATTACTTTAGTACATTTTTGTTGCCTTTGTTTTACTTTTCTTGTAAAAATGTACATGGCTTTTCAAGTTCGAGTATTTGGTCTTATAAAAGGAATAAAGGGTAGATTTTTGAGCAGTATTTCTCCCGCTAGGGTCTTTTTTCTCTGAACCGTAAATTTTGAATACGAAGCCGCTACCTTGCGAAGTTCCTTGCGCCTCGGTCCACTACTGGCCTCAGCTGAGATCATCTCGGTTGCGCCCGGAGACTTAACTGGAGAAAGACTGCCTTCAAGCTGAGTTTAAGTTTGGGCGCTTAGGTATTTGAAAAGCCGTATACCAAGGTAGACGTTTAGCGGGGTTACATTTTAAGCATCTTATTGTGCGGCAACTTTAGATAATATCTTTTTTTAACTTGTGGCGAAACATTTTTATTGTGGAGTACGTGTGTTAGTTGATTGGTTAATATATTGTGATTTCTTTTAATTATATTATTTCATTTGGCTCTCTGTACAATTGATTAGTTTACGTCACTGCTATTAGTCGCTTTTCTTCTCTGTGGGTGTTCAAGCAACGAGTTCGCCTAACATCTCGGAGATTTGTGGCTTCATCTACCTTGGGTCACTGGCGCTCTTAGCCCCCCCCCCTGCCCTCCGCCTTATTTAGCTGTTTTGCTTTGACTCACCATTTGATTTTATTTATCGTATTTCATTAATTTAACGGTTAATTACACAAAAGGAAGCAGGAAGCACACAACTATTTCCTTTTGCTTATAAAAAAGGCGCGGCAAGGTAACTGGAAAGAAGATGAGATTACGAGAGAAGTGAGTAGGTATATTTGGGAAGGCATCTCAGACGTGGCGACGCACTTGCTGGATCCTGAAGCTTATAATGGAAAAACATGATTAACAACTGTTTCAATAGATATCAAGTTCTGTGTTCAAGGAAGTGGAGCATGTTAGTAGTTTCAAAGGAAAGCCTAGATTCACATTTTGGAAAAGCTTCAAGGATTTGTAGAATATAGTCTACATTACCCGAAAGCAATTTGAATTAATAATAAAAATATCTATTCCAGTGGACTACAGGAGTATAGAAAACGTCAGAAACAAAAACCTAAAGCAAATAGAGACACATTAAGAAGTGGCTGGCACAGATTGCGGTCAGTACGAGCTAAGCTGCCTCTGTTTCCTGTTTCCTAACTATGTTAATACGCACTTGTACAATTTGCTGGAAAGGGCTTTAAAAGACATCAAGAAACTAAACTGCTCAACGACAGTGAACGTATTCAAAGATACGATAATAAGACAACTGGTGTTTCAAGTTCCACGACCGTCCTTTTATTTAGACTAAACACCGTCGACCTTGAGAGATCTGAGGGGCAACTGAACGGCAAAAAGTATCTGTAATAAAGGTAGAGCGTAAAACAAAGCAGATCCAATGTTAAAATGGCCTAGAATTCGTGAAATACCGATTGTTTAGTCTAGAAATCGGAAAGAATTAGTGGAAATGATTCGCAACAAATGTCGAAAAAGCAGTTAAATGAGGAGTGAAGGGTTCTATGACTATTTGCATGACTGAAGGCCATGAGGCGGATCTTTAACAAAGCTCAATGTAAGCCGGAGAAAAGTAAACAAATCATGTTTAAGACAATCTGTATGATTTCAAGCATAACTAGGTTATTTTAAATTTCTAGAAACGGAAGGTTCAGTTATTAATGATAATTTGGAATTTCTATTTAATAAATCTGTTGACAGTGGCTGCTTTCCTAATTAAAACTTGCGATGATCATGCCTCATATTTAAAAAAGGCGGACTTGCTGACAACTATCGTCAAATTCCATTATCGAGCAATATATCTAAGCTTCTCGACAAGACCATGTATCACAGGATTATCCATTTTGTCCCCTTCAAAATAATCCCCATCAGACATTATACTCCTGTGATAATGTTTTTTCCAATTCTTGAAGCATTTTGAAAAATCATTTTTTGTGATCTTGTTCAGCTCTTCCTTCGATGCCGTCTTTATCTCCTCAATCGTGGCGTAGCGTCGTCCTTTCATGGGCCTCTTCAGTTTCGGGTACAAGAAAAGGTCACAGGGGGCCAGGTCTGGGCAATACAGTGGGTGAGGCATTTTTGGGGTGTTGTTTTTGGCCAAAAATTCACGCACAAGTAACGATGCATGAGCAGGGGCGTTATCGTGGTGCAAAAGCCAATTTTTGTTCTTCCACAAATCCGGGCGTTTCTGGCGGATTGCTTCTCGTAAATTGCGCACCATTTGAAGGTAATATTCCTTATTGGCCGTTCTACCCTGCGGCAAGAACTCATCAATGTTTTCGTCTATTGTTGACGTGCTGGGGCGTCCGTAACGCTCTTCGTCGCTCACATCTTCTCGGCCCTCTGAGAACATTTTGTATCACCGACAAACGTTGCTTTTGTCAAAAGTAGCTTCGCCGTATGCAACAGACAGCATTTGGTATATGTCCGCGCACTTCAAGTTGTTTTTTTTTTTCACAAAATTTAATACAAATCCTTTGATCCATTTTTTGGAATAGACAAAAATCGGAGACAAGCTAAAACACGTCCACGCACAATAGCTGTCAAAAACTGACTGCACATCCAAAATGGCCGATATTGTCAACGTTAGTGAGGGTCATGAGTACCAACACAACGCCATAAAAAGATCGAAAATCGAACATACGTAGCCCGCGAAAATTCAAAATTTGCGATACTTTTTGAACAAACCTCGTATTTCAAAATGGTTTTAGATCTGCGAAATCCATCGAAGCTGCAAGCTGTCATTTGCTTGAATTTCTTTATAGCAGACAAGATGATGGCGAGTATGTAGCATCTTTACTTTTTGATCTATCTAAGGCATTCGACACTATAAACAGTAACATACTTAACCAAAAATTATATGCTGTAGGTATTGGATGCTTTTTTTTTAATTAGATCATCTCCTACCTGGAGGACAGAAACCTAAAAGTTAAACTTGGAAGTACGAGTACAACATCTGATCTATACAGGGTGACTTCGAAGTTGAGTCATTTATTTTAACAGTGAGTAGATCTGATCAAAAGAAATGTTTTTTTCCTTTACCATTTTTCTGGTAAAATTAAAGTAACAAAGTTATAGCTCTTTGGAACTTTGAGTACCGCCCTGTCTCAATAATAATATTATGTACTCGTGTTTGGCGACAACGGATATAATCCGCCGTATCGGTTCATCGCATCGGAAACAAAAAAGCGAAAGAATTTGGAACGATGTTTTTACAAGTATTTCATTCATTTGTATACAGTCAGTGTCAGTGAATAGTGGTATCTGTTGCGTGGCTCAAACGAAATAAAAAATGGCACATGTTTATGCGGATCGGTTCCCCAATCGAGTGCAACCAACCCCTAGTGCCTTTGTTAATGTAGTACAACGGGCTCGTGAATCAGGTGACTTAAGACCTCACAGGGGACCTCACGATCAAATACGGGTCCGCACTGGAATACTTGCCGGGAGGATACTTTATAAGACAAGGTAAACATTTTTTTTTTATTTTTTTTTTATTTTTACACACATATTTTGGTTTATCTTCCTTCTACAATCATTATCTGAAAATTAATGACTCAACTTCAAAGTCACCATGTATATCCCTTCAGAGATCTATACTGGAAGCACTGCTGTTCGACTTATACGTCAGTGATTTGCCCAGTCATATCTCAGACGGACATATAATCATGTTCGCAGACGATACCACTATAACTATAAGTTGGTGTACAAATCACCTTGCTGTATCTGTATTGTGAGACCTGCGCCTTGGCCTAGACCTATCTCACTTTCCGCTCTTCAATTACCATCAAGGACATTTGCTCTCAGAAGCGTTGCTTGAATGGTAAAGCGAGCAGTTGCTACACCCCCTCGCTCTTCAATTTTGAATTGCCACCCCGCTCCTCGAAAAATAACATCTTCCTGACAATGAAGGCTTCACGCCACCCCCCATCCCCTCCCCTTCCCAGGCAATTTCCTAATTCCAAAGGTATTAGCAATACCCTGTAGTGGTTTGAACCCTGAAGTGGTTTGAAACATGCCAAACATTCAACTTACGCTCAGGTGCTCAAGCGCGATACTTCAACTAACACAATTTTCGATATAATCAGCATTCTCTGACAATGTTAAATCAAATTCGTACTAAACGAGAAACATAATTATCTGTAATACGTCTGTTCAAAGTTGCGAACAGCTTGGACATTCCGAGCGATAGAGCTGTATTAAATCTCACTGGCAGTGTTTCATTTGAAGTTTCAGTTCGACCGAGTATGCTGCCATCCGCACTCGTGTGAAAATTACAGAATATATTTATACACAAATAATGATTAAAGGCCAGATGAAATACTGAACAGAGCCAGTAGTCGACAATTAAATCGGAAACTCTGTGCCCGGTTAGAGATTACTGCAGTGTGGTTAAGTGCAGTTTCATGCAGATGTTGGCGTTCTTAGGTTGCATGTATTTTCGTACGAAATTAAATCGTACGTATATATTGGATACTAAAATTGATAACACTGCGTAGCAGGCACCCAGTTGCATCATATTTTGGTGATCTAGGTGATGAAGCCATATAATAGCATACATACAGATGCGACAGTGACTGGCCGACCTTTGAATTTTGGTGTCATTAACTATTTGACTATTATCCTACTAATTACCATAGTGTCCGAAGTAAATTTTTGCCAGGAGGGCCAGACCAAACATACGAATGTGCTTCCGGAGTTCATTAACCCTGCATCACTCGCGCTATGAGCATTTTGCTCATTGTTTATGAAAAACAACGATCATTTGGCATCGTCGCGGGGGACGCGCCTATCCGCACTTCTAGCTTACTTTATAACTGTACTCTTGAAGATATGGTGACGTGAAATTTAATTAGTTCGCTGTGTCAGGTGTTACGGGACGTTTGTTGACTGATTGCAAGCGAGGTGAGACTTTTGCTCATTACGCGAGTGATCGTGTAGCATTTTTTGATCTGGAGAGAGCATTTTGCTCATAGCGCGAGTGTCACTATTACGATTGTTCCTGTATGTTTGATGAGCCGATAATTTTTGTAAGATTCAACAGGACAATTTTAACGATATATTGTTGTAACAGAGTAATAGAGATGTACAGCAGAAGCAAAAAAAAATGCCGATCTCGGCCGAGAAATATACGATCGAGCTTGTATGCAGGAAGTGTTGGAGAGTGTTAGTTGGACTGTCGCCACAGAGCCAGTGGAAGAAACTATTTTGGACAATAATCAGTTGGATATTGAGAGTGTCGATTCAAGTAAGTTCAGTGAACACAATACCAACTCAGAGCTGTCCGAACAAGAAAGTGTTAGCGATGATAAATACAAAAAAATCAATTTCACTGGTCAACATTGCTTCGTGGGTAAAGATAAAGCCACCCAATGGCTGGCTCATGCATCCTCACGACCGAAAAGAAGAACTTTACGTAAAAATATTGTCATTCGTCCCCCAGGCATAAAGAGAGTGGCACAAAATGCAAAGAAAGAAAGGGATTGTTGGGAGTTGTTTACGACACCAGCGATGATAGAATATATTGTCGAATGTACAAACATCTACCTGAATAATCTGCGCAAAAACTGTGTCCGTGAACGAGATTGTCGACCAACAGATGCCACAGAACTATATGCCTTTTTTGGACTTATATACATGGCCGGGGTGAAGAAAAACCATTATTTATCCACAAAAGAGTTATGGGATACCGATGGATCAGCTGCTGATTGCTTCCGCCTCACAATGTCAAGAGAAAGATTCCACCTTCTGGTGAGAGCGATCAGATTTGATGACATAAACAATCGAGAAGAAAGAAAGTCCTTTGACAACATCACCCATATTCGGCAGCTTTTTGAGGAGTTTATTGGAAAATGCCAAGAAAATTACCAAATTGGGGAATATTGCACGGTAGACGAAATGCTGGAAAATTTCAGAGGAAGATGCAAATTCAAGCAATATATTGCAAAGCAGCGAAATATAGAATGAAAATATACGCACTGGTTGATGCAAGAATGTTCTACCTTTAGAATATGGAGATCTATCCAGGAAAACAACCAAATGGACCATACACGCATGATAATTCTGCATTTGCTTGGTCTCCTACAAACCAAAACCCAACAAAAATGTTCTTTTATTATATACGTTCCATTCAGATGGACCTCTTGATCCAGAATCTGGCGTTTTGCAGAAGCCGGAAAAAGTGACTTTCTATAACTGTACGAAGGGTGGAGTTGACGTAGTTGATGAGCTGAAGTCCAATTACTCAGTGTCCAGGTTCTGTTGCCGATGGCCATTACGAGTATTTTTTACAATACTGGATGTAGCAGGTATTAATTCTCATATTATCTACAAAAGTAATGCATCCAAAATCCTGGCGCGCAGAATTTATTTGAAGAACTTAGCGCTGCAACTGATCAAACCACAGATGATTACTCGTTCAACGATTCGAACTTTACCACTAGATATTCGAACCCGTATCAGACAAATTTTGGGTATACCAGAAACAGACACCAATGCAAGCGTATCAGCATCAGGATTTTGTGGAATATGCCCAAGAAAAACGAATAGAAGGACAAAAAAGCAATGTAGCAAGTGCAATATCCCCATATGCAACTACCATGTCACATTTATTTGTTCTACATGCTCCAATTCGATAAACAACTTGCATTAGGCAAGCGAATAATTCCTTTATTTTACTAAGTACACGGTTCCTGTTTTAGTTCTAATTATATTATGACACAATATTATTATTTATATAAGATAAATTTTGAGTTGTCATTAAATAAATCTAACAGTTTATGTGCATTATTGGGAGAATTTGCATGTAAAAATGCCTTTAATATATCTTAACCAAATTGTAAACTGTTCGTGAGCAAAATGCTCACGCGCGAGTGATGGTGTAACTTTTACATGCGCGAGTGATGCAGGTTTAAAAATAAAAAACGACTTCAACAGAATATATCGGGAGGGATTTAGAGCGGGAGGAGGCAAATTTTCCCTAGGGTGGCCAAATCCTAAAGATCCTGCCTGAACCTTTATGCTATGCAAGAAAACTGTGCTTTCCCATATTATTTATAACAGTCACTGTACACATGTTTGCATTGCTTGTTACTCTGATTTAACTTACTGTCAAAATGTGTAACAGTGGCAATGATGGAAATCCTACCAATCTCAACGTAACCGATTTTTTGGCAGGCTTTCGTCATTGATACATTGGTACACCTACACAATGACTGACGTATACTGTTGCTAATACTAATTAAGATATATACAACAAAGCACTCAAACATTATCACTTCTTAGTCCCTTCTCGAAGGTGTTTGAGAAATATGTCTCTCTGCAACTCATCAATTGCTTTGACAGATTCAAATTATTTAATAGTAATCAGTTTGGATTTAGAAAAGGTATGTCAACCAAAAATGCCGTACTTCGTTTCCTAGATGATTTATATCTCAAGATGGATAAAGGAGAAAAATGCATAGGTATATTTCTTGGTTTAAACAAAGCTGTTGACTTGGTTGACCATGGTATTCTGCTGGATAAAATGGATAGATATGGAATCAGAGGGAACCCATTTGACTGGTTCCATAGCTATCTGTCGGATAGAAAGCATCATGTCGAGGTACAAAATGCACAGTCCAGCCAACATTTCTACCATACTGGTGTTCCACAGGGTTCTAGACTTGGTCCTCTTTTATACATAATGTACGTCAATGACTTCCCCTCCGATTGCTCGGTAATGTATGCTGGTGACACTTCATTACTTGTTAATGGTAAATACCTAGAATCTGTTGTAGGACTTGCCAATTCAAGCTTGACTGATGCAGGTAAGTGGTTCAGCAATAATGGGCTCGTCTTAAATAATCAGAAATCTGTTTTTCTTAGATTTAACCTTTCCACCTCACCGATGGATCACACTTATTTAATAAAATCGTTTGGCAAATCAATAAAACAAGTGGATGCGACTAAATTTTTAGGGATATATATATCTCAAAATTGTAGATGGGATACGCATATTGAGAAAAGCAGCCAAAAGATCGCCCCACTCTGTTACTGTCTGTACCAGTTAAGTTTTGTTGTGGAGAAGTGGATATTACTGATATTTTACCATGCACATATCCTTTCAGTCCTAATTTATGGAATAGAAGCATGGGGAGCATCGTCCCAGCTGCAAATACTTTTTGTGTTGCAAAAAAGGCTGTTCGAGTAATATCTAAAATTGGAAGGCTCACTAGCTGCAAGGATTCATTTAGAACATTAAAGATTTTAACCTTACCATCTGTATATATACTCAATATACTTATCCTTGCTAAAACACAATTGAGCAAGTTCAATTCTGTAAGCACTGGTGCTTACCTTACAAGGAACAGTCAAGTATTGGAGGTGCCGTCGCATAGATTGGCGAGAACGGAGGAGAGTCCTAGATACATGGCTATTAAGTTTTTCAACAGACTCCCCAACAATTTGAAATCACAACCACTGAACACTTTTAAAAGAACAGTCAAACAGTTTTTAATGGAGAAAGCTTTTTACTCTATTGAGGAATTTTTAATGTGTGAATGTCTTGTTTGATTTTGATCATTGTTGTTTGAATGTCATTTAATGATTTGGCCTTTATTTCGCTTTTTTAAATATACATATATGTTTTATATTTATAAATTTTATCAATAAGCTAATTTGATTTATCTGTATCCATATTTGGAATATACCATATGTGGTACGAATATGTGTGCGTCCACACTAACATGATTTGTGATTAGCTTTTGTAGTGCTCTGACTGACTTATCCTATATCACATCTGTGATCATACAGGACTAATAAATTATTATTATTATTATTATTATAGATGAAAAGTGGCCTGTTGTCTGTCGTATGATAACACAGTATGACTCAATGGTTTAGCTTTAAGGCAGCAACGCAAAGCAATAAGAAAAAAAAACCGGGAACAGCATTATGGTCCACGAGTGTGCTAGGAGAATATCAGTTGTATCTTGTCGTCAAGGTTACTTAGCCGAGCTTGAAGAACAATGTTTCAACTTTTTATCCAGGCTGTACCTGTAACCTCCTGTGGAATATTGAGACCTCCTGTCATTTTACCCTATGCTTGGTTTCACATGTTCCCTAAGAGGTGATTTTTAAGTTAGTGCTTTAGCTAAATACAATTCTTTTTTTGATTTCACTAAAATGAGATGTTCTCTAGAAAAATAGTTTAGTAGAACTGTACAGAAACGATCTATTTTATCAAACACATGTGCAATTTTCACTTTGAAGATTAATTTTTCCAAAATAGCTACCGTAGAACTATGATGATACAGAGTGCACAAAATGTCAGCAATATTGCGTTAGGGCAATCTAAATGAGTCGTTTCGAACGGACACCACTATATGAGGGCCCGACTAGTTATCAGTCTGCCAAAAGTTTCGTTGTTGTCTATCAGTGGGAAATATAAAGATCTCAGTTTCCGCTTCATAGTCCAGTCATCAGTATGACCACTAGAACCTGACGTTTCTGGCGGCATATGAGATGTCTACTTGCCATTGGGTACTTCAGCATGCTACTTTCGCATGCAACCAAAAACAGCCAACAATGGAAAGCTGTTTCGTGCTTGTTGGCGACCCATCAGCATATAATTCTCTATACGAGGTATGAAATCTGTCCAAATAGGACAGCTCAAAGCACCGTCTATTACCAGAATCGACCACTGTGAGAGTGGATAGCAGCTATCAACATCTCAGTTCGCACTTGATAGCTCAGTTACCACTACGCCCACTAAAGTCTGACAATTCTAGCGGTATGGTAGACAGACATCCAACGATGAGTTGGCAGAAGCGCGAATCGAGTCCACGATTAGCTGTCTGTGGTCGAATGAAGAAAGCAACTCGTTTAGTTAAAAGCCGATTCCCAGCAGTATCCCAATGACGCAATTTTACAAATCCGCCGCACAAATTTTTGCCTATAGTACAAATTCGACTATCACCAGATTTAGCTTCAAAACCATATTTTCCCATTTGAGCCGGTATACAAAATTTGCGACACACTCCCAAGTTCGACCAATCAAAAAGGAGGATTTGCAGCCTGCTCGAAACATGTAGTCAACCTGGTACAGTAGATTGGCATAATTACTGAGCATTTTATTCGTTCGTATGAGCAGGATTTGTTTGTTCAATACTATTAACTTCCTTTCTGGGCTTTCAATCATTTTGGATTCAATTGTTTATATATAAATCTTTAGTTGCTCATGAAATCAATTTTTATAAAAATCACTGGCACCTTTTTTGACACACCCGGTCTAAGTGGGTATGTATTTTAGTCCAAGTTTGTATACATCAATACCTTCAGATAATATGTTCATATACACGGAATATGTGACTACGCAAGGGCAGAAGAGTTCCTGAGAGTTCACAGACCAGTAAATCGCACAAACTGTGGCTCAGGGAATCAAAGTAATCGAACAACTTGTATTCTCTACAATTTTAGTAAAGATATTTTTGTGATATTTCTTCCCTCTTTAGAGAAATGTGATAGATCGCGATATTTTAGAAATACAACCCAAATAAAACAAGGTTCCAACGATATATGATGCCACGCTTTTTATAAATAAAAGGAAGTGGTGGCGTGTTTCCTCCTTCCTTTTTCGTAATTAATTAAAAAATTAATAAAATACGATAAATAAAATCAAATGGTGAATCGATGCAAAACAGCCGTCTAGTGGCGTGCAGTTTTAGTGGTCGCCAACCCGTCGATCGCGAGCCACCGGTAGCTCGCAAAGGCAATTCTGATGGCTCACAACATGTTTTAATATGGTGTAGAAATCATAGAAGGTTCCGTAAATTTTGTAAGCTCTCATAATAAACACAAGCAGCGGCAACACTGCTGTGAACGATCTGTTCGAGAACGATCTCGATCACTTTGAACGGAATAAATACCCAAGGCGCAGCGACAGTGCGCTTAGTTTAAAGGTGAACGGCACAAAGTCCAGCAGTTGGGTTAGTGTTGGCCTGCAATTAAAAACATTATGAGCAGTAGTAAGAAGATGAAGACACACCATTTCTATTCTGAATGGGAAGAACAATATTTATTTACAGAAGTTGAAGGTAAAAATGTATGTTTGTTATGTAATGTATCTATTTTCGTTGGTAAAAAGTGAATATCGAGAGGCAGTATAAAACTGTACATTCAAATTTTGAAAAACCATTCCTATTGCGTCCTGCAAGCAGGATGGAAAACTGGAAAAATTAAAAAATCAGTTGGTTGGACAACAGACAATGTCTTTAAAAACAATCGACAAACTAAGGCTGCAACTCAAGCATCATACCGTGTGTTTCAGATAATTACACAAAAGAAGAAATCTTATGAAGGCGGGGAGATGACAAAACATGCGTTTTTAGAAGCTGCAGATTCATTATTTGCCAGCATTAGAAATAAAGACGAGATAGTGTCTGCTATAAAATCTATGCAACTTTCATCTAAGACAGTGATGAGCAATGATATAGTTTTACAGTTAAGAAATGACTTCGATAACTGTGCTGATTTTTCACCGCAGCTGGATGAATCCACAGATGTCGTTGATACCTCTCAGATGGCCGTGTTCGTCACGATTTTTGTTTTAATGATTTCACGTTTAAAGAAGATCTTTTGAAGTTTCTTCCACTAAAAGGACATACTACTGGG